AAATAATAAATAAAAATATTTTTTTTAATTTTGAGGTGGTACCTGAGGGCAAAACCAGTACCACTGAGATACATGCCAAGTCCAAGAACTTTTCATGTCACTCAAGCAACACCCAGATTAGCTGTTTTCAGTAACAGCCCAGCAGGCAGTCTATCTAAGTCAGTTTCCAAGGAGGAATGGCAAAGTACCTTGAAAGGTTGGGTTCAAGGGAAAACAGAAACAGCTTACTCATAAGCATCTCTGAAAATGAAAAATGAAATGAAATCCAAGATAACCCCCAACCTAATTTTAGTTCTTAGTTCCTGTCTCCTCTTCCAGCAATCCTTTTCCAAGCTTGGCAAGCAAGTTGCACAGTAAGAAAAGTAAGGAGTTCTGGTTTCCCCCAAGCTGATCCTTCATGCTGCTTTCTTATAAAAGTGGCTAAGTACCTAGTTTATAACAAGAGGCTGAAGAGATGGCTCAGCAGTTAAGAACACTGGCTGTTCTTGCAGAAGACCAGAGTTCGAATCCCAGCACCCACATGGCAGCTAACAACTGTGTGTTAACTTTAACTTCAGTTCCAGGGGATTCGATGCCCTCCTCTGTCCTCTGTGGGCACTGCATGACACAGGTGCGCTTACATACATGCAGGCATAACACTCATACTCATACACATAAAATAAAATTATTTTAAAAAAAAAACAAAAACACTGAGGGCCAGGCATGGTGGGGCATGCATCCCAGCACTCAGGAGGCAAAGGCAGGCGATCTCTCTGTGAGTTCAAGGCCAGCCAGGTCTACATAGTGAGTTCCAGAACAGCTGGGGCTACAGGGAACCTGTACTGTGAGAAGCGTATCCTGGAGGCCATGGGTCGCACAGGACACCCTTTCCTCCTCTCCCTCTTTGCCTCCTTCTAGACCTCTAGCCACACCTGCTTTGTGACCCACTTCCTGCCTGGGGGAGACCTCATGATGCAAATCCACGAGGATGTCTTTCCTGAGCCCCAGGCCTACTTCTACCTGGCCTGCATGGTCCTGGGGCCGTAGTTCCTACATGACAAGAAAATCATTTACAGGAACCTGAAACTGGATAATCTTCTGCTTGATGCCCAGATTTCCTGAAGATTGCTGACTTTGGACTATGCAAGGAAGGGATTGACTTTGGGGACCAGACAAGCACCTTCTGCGGCACCCCGGAGTTCCTGGCCCCTGAGGTACTGACTCAGGAGGCCTACACATGTGCAAAAAGACAAAAAAGAAAAAAATAATAATGCTGAAACAAATAAAACTCACCAGCAAAGCCAGGTGGTACATGCCTGGAATTTCAGTACTGGGGAGGTTGAGGCAAAAGGTTCAGAAACTCAAGGTCATCCTGAACTACAGAGTGAGTTTGAGGTCAGCCAAAGATACATGAAACCATGTTTCAAAAAATAATACAAAAATAAAACTGACCAGCAAAAAGCAAAACACTAAAAACAAAGGTAATCTACAAACTAAATAAGCAAGAGCTACTGCTATTTGAGTTTAAATACAAAAAAAAAGAATTGTCTTTTGTATAAATAGTGCATGTGTACTTCTGTACTTGAAGAACTGTTTCTTAACAGGTCCTACATAACAGTGCCACTTACACCATTCAACCCTTTCAAATGGTGGCCCTTGGCCCCAAGAGCAGGAAGAATCTAGTATCCTGCCTTTTTAGTCTTTGTTTTTTAACATTTTATTATTTTTATTTTACATGTATCGCCTTCATCTATGTAAGTGCACCCATGTTGTACAATGCCCTCAGAGGTCAGAAGAGGGAGTCAGATCCCCTGGAACTGGAGTTATGGACAGTTGTTAACCACCCTATGGGTGCTAGGAATCGAACCGGGATCTACTGCAAGAACAGCCAGTGCTCTTAACTGCTGAGCCATCTCTCCAGCCCTGTCTTTAGTATTCTTTAGTATCTTTTGAGAAAACCATCCTCTTTCTGATGATCTATACTACTCACTAAGGTCCAGGGTAGAGACTTTTCATAAATACAGAGGGATGCTTAGACCCTATAGTTCTCTTTAACATCGTAAGAATACTTTCAAATCTTTCAAAATTTCATGAACCAGACAGAAGGCCACCGAAAGAGCATATTCTAGTAGAAGGTAGCTTTACTAAGTCAGGGTTTTAAACATTTACAAGCTTCAAAGAACGGACACCCCAACAAAATCACCCAAGATGAAACCCAAAACTCCAAATCTGTCCTTAGCCATCACTAAAAAACGTGTGGCATTTATTTCCCTGAGACCTGACAAGGGAGCTCCAGATCTCATGTAACTACATTCACTACTCTACACTGCTGCAGCTCCCTGAGTGTTTCCTTGCTTTACTGAACTGTAGGGAACATAACACACTCCCAAGAGAGGCAAGGGAATATACACTGCAAATCTCCTCTACAGGGAAAAACTTTCACACCAAGCCAATTCTAGACTTACACAAAGGTAACTGCTACTAAAGTTGAAGGTATAATTCACACATCTAGCAAATGTCTATTAAACGTCTATTCTATACAAGGCTTTATGCATTCAATAGTGAACCTAGGAGTATAGCTCAGTAGTAGGTTGCCTAGCATACCCAAAGCACTGGGTTAAATCCCTAGTACTAAAATAAAAAATACCCAGTACTATACTATTATATATTGCTCTTTTTGAGACAGGGTTTCCCTGTAGCCCTTTTGGCCTGGAACTCATTACATAAACCAGTATGGCCTTGAACTCACAGAGATCCAGCTACCTCTACCTTATGAGTGCTGGGATTAAAGATGGCTGCCACCACACCTGGCACAGTAGTATAAAAGCATTCCCTTTACTCTCAAAAGTGTCCCAATTATACTATAAACCATTAGCTGGGAAGGAAACTATTATAAAAGGGAATAATTGGGAGCAGCTGCTTGATCACCAAAGACTTCTTGGAAGAGATGACATTTTACTAAATCCTGATGGTTAAGACTCCAACTATTGGCTGGGCATGGTGGCACACGCCTTTAATCCCAGCGCTCAGGAGGCAGAGGCAGGTGGATCTCTGTGAGTTCGAAGCCAGCCTTGTCTACATAGTAAGTTTCAGGTTACCTGGGGCTACAGGAAGACCCTGTCTCAAAAAGACCAAAAAAAAAAAAAAAGACTTCCAACTATTCTGGAAGATTATTATCATTAGAGGAGACAGCACAGGCTCAGACAAGGCTTGGGGGACTATCACTGTTGATCAACATAAACTTTGGCTAATTGAAGAATCAAAAAAGTGACTTGGGGCTCCCATAAATCAGTTTGTTCATACAAGATTAAAATATCCTAAACAGCTGGGCATGGTGGCACACGCCTTTAATCCCAGCACTTGGGAGGCAGAGGCAGGCGGATCTCTGTAAGTTCAAGGCCAGCCTGGTCTAGTGAGTTCCAGGACAGCTGGGGCTACAGGGAGACTCTGTCTCAAAAAGACCAAAAAAAAAAAACATCTAAAGGTGTTAAACCTCAAAATTAAGCATGAAGACAAAACTCAAACTCTAAGGCAGTGGCTTTCCAAGTTTTGCAGGTCATGAATCTAAATTATGAAATACTCCTGATCTTTACCCATTATACACACATATTCATATATACACATATCCACATCATACAATTTCAGGTTAACAGGAAACACCCCTTATTAGCTGCACCACTACCAGAAATTCATACACAGACGCCAGGTTAAATTAGCCGCACCACTATCAGAAATTCATACACAGACTCCAGGTTAAATAAAGGGGTAGAGAGGATGATGGCTGGGGAGATGGCTCAGCTGAAGTGGTTGCCATGCAAGCATGAGGACATGAGTTCAGATCTCCAACATCCATGTACAAAGCTGGGTGCAGTGACCTGTGTCTCTAATCTTTGTGCTGGGGAGACAGAGACAAGATCTCTGGAGTTCACTGGCCAGCCAGTCTAGCTCAATCAGTGAGCTCAAGTTTCAAGGAGACCCTATCTCAAAAAATAAGCTAGAGAGTGATAAAGACATTTTATCTCAACCTCTGGTCTTCATAATACACCCTCAAAAGTCCTCTTTACAATCAGCAAGAGCTTTCAACTCTATTTGAGTACTAAGAGTATTATCATTTGTATTACTGTTCCATCTTGGAACTCATTATGTACACCAGGCTGGCCTGAAATTTGCAGCCATCTTCCTGCTTCTGAATCCTGAGTGTTGGGATTACAAGCATGTGCCACCACATCCCGCTTTCAAGGTAAGTATTCTTTCCCCTTTGAGACAGGGTCTCACAACTCCTAGTCTGGTGTCAAACTCATTCTATAGCTGAGGATGACTCTGAACTTCTGATCCTCCTGCCTCTGCCTCTCAAGTGCTGGGATCATAGGCGTGAACCACCAAAGATAAACTTCTTAAGATTCACTGAAAATATCAGAGTTAAAGAAAAAAAAATAATAATAATACATTTTTTAAAAGATACCAAGCGTCCGTGTACTGGTAATACATTTTTTAAAAGATACCAAGCGTCCGTGTACTGGTGCTCACCTAAATCCTTAGCACTTGGGAGGCAAGAAGATCCATAGTTCAAAGTCATTATCATCTATATAACAACTTCAAGACCAGCCTAGACTATAAGACCCTGTATCAGATAAACCAAAGAGGCTGGGGATGGAGTTCAGTTGGTAGAATGTTTGCCTAGCATGCTGGAGGCCCTGGGTTTTAGCCCTAGTACCAAGGAAACCAAGTGTGGGCGCACAGGCCTGTAATCTCAGCACTCAGAAGATGAACGCAGGAAGGCCAGAAGTTCAAGATCATCCTTGGCTATATATCAAGTTCAAGGTTAGAATGGGATACATGAGACCCTGTCTCAAAAGGAAAAGAGGAAATGAAAACAAACGAACTTTACCCCCTCCCCCAAAAAACAGAACAAGCAACAGAAAGTCAATAAAAAGCAGACAGCACTGTATATATCACCAAAAGTCACTAAGACCCATCTTTCCCAAGATTTTGGACAGCCAGAACTGTCCTGGAGTCCTTACCTTACTAACATTGAGTGACGCTAGAGGAGGAGGGGTTTCTGTTCGGTCATTAATTATTTCCACTTCTGAAACATATTGTAAGTTTATGAGCAAGATGTCTGCGTGGTTGGGCTTTCCACTGGAAGAGGGACATTCTGGTGAGAAAATAAAGTTAAGGAAAATAGGGCAAGCAAAAGCACATCCCAAAAGGGTACAGGAAACAATATACACAATGTTTATATAAACACATGCCACAAGCAAGTCTCCAAGATTCATAGCTCTCTTCAGGAAATCTCTGCCTGTCACTCTGCTTCTGCCTAAACCCAAACCCAAAAGTTCCCAAGCTTTTCAAACCCATATAAAAGCAAAGACAGAAAGTCTCAAAAGGTTTTCTGTCACTTTGCCTCCACAGGTTTTATGGAAAGACATAATGCAGTCTTAATGCCATATATGCTGCCTTGAACTTGGGAACCACACAGACGAACGTGTGCGTTTGTGCTTTCTGATCTTGGTAGAATACTCCTATGTCTACAAATAGATACTGTCCTTTTTTTTTTTTTTTGGTCTCCCTGTAGCTCCCTGAGGCCCCAGATGGCCTGGAACTCATTATGGAGACCAGGACAGCCTTGAACTCAGAGAGGATCCACCTGCCTCTGCCTCCCCTAGTGCAGGGATTAAAGGTGTGTACCACCACACCCGGCTTACAGATACTGCTTTTTACCTTTTCAGATTTGATTTTTTTTTCCTTTTTTCAGTTTATTTTTCAGACCTGAGATTTCCCTTTTTTCAAAGGCAAAAATACATCACTGGGAAGGAAACTACCCAAGGTGGCCCACCTAGTTAGCCCATCCATCCATCCATCCATCCATCCATCCATCCATCCATCCATCCTTCAATCATTTACTGAAACCTTGATGTGTGCCAATTAAAAGCGGAGTAAATCGCCAGACTTGGTGGTACACGTCTTTAATCCCAGCACTTGGGAGTCAGAGGCAGGTGGATTTTTTGTGAGTTCAAGACCAGCTGGTCTACATAGTGAGATCCAGGCAGCTGGGGCTACAGAGAGACCCTGTCTCAAAAGTAGCACCCCCCCCAAAAAAAAGTAATTTCTAAGACCCTTCCAACTAAAGAACTAAGTAGGAGGTTTTAGGCCAGTTGCAACCTCTTATAAAGAAAGAAAAAGGAACTGTTCTTGCTGTCCATTAGTAAAAAAACACTGTTCTGTGTCATAAATCTACAACTCCTGGCTAAATGAAAAATGCTTGCTGCTCAAAGGCAGTAGACTCGGTAGGAAACTTCATTTTGAGAAATGAAGGATTATTTCTCCTAAAAATAAATGAATAAAAAATAATCCAAGTAAACCCACCTGTAGCTCAAATAAAAGAAGCAGAGGCAGACTTATTCCAACCAGGAAGTGCTTTGTTTCCTACAGTGAGTTTGTTGGAGTAATTCAGAAATCATTTCCACCCCAAAGAAGCAGGCTATCTTTCCAAACTTAACACTGGTGCTTTCAAAAAGGAGGACATTACTATGGGAAAGTGAGGACTCTCATGTGCTGAACTGAACAAGAAGAAATAAGAACTTACTCTTGGCACCTGTAGCCCACAGTCATACATAAACCACTGAAAAAACGTGGCAAGTCCTCTCTGGACTAGGCTTCCAACAACCCCTAAAACAGCAATTTTCACGAATGAGAACCTCAAAATCTGGGCGCAAACACACACGAATGTTGAGAACCTCAAAATCAGCACACACACACATTCACGCGGCACCTCGCATACACAGGCTCCAGCAAAGCCAACCACCAGTTCAGATACAAACTCTGTCCAGCACTTCCTCGCCAACCCCGACCCCCTAAACAGGTAAGACCCATTTGGTCATCATCCCACTACCGTTTCTTGGCAAATCCCAGCAGTCACTCCCCTCCTAAAATTTCATGCCCTCACTCTACTAGCAGTTCCTGACCCTACACACCCCTGCCCATAGAATTTTACCGCTCCCCAGTCCATCCGGGCTCCAATGCACCAGCCCCCTCCCCACCACCCACCCCTTCTCTTAATCGCTGTGTCCCCCTAACACAGCGTTCCCTCCCGAAAAGCCACCCGCGTGTCAAGCCCCGCTCCACCCACCAACCCCCAGTTAGGGCCCAGCTCCCGCAAAGGGTGGGAGACCAGGGTCCCCAAAGTAGACCGAAGGGCCCGCGGGGGAAGGAGGGGAAGTCAGGGCCGTGCGCATGCGCCCCAGGCGCCGCGGCAGCCGGTCGCCCCTAGGCCGGGAGAGGGCCCTACAGCCGCCGTCGTCCCCCGCCCCCCCCCACCGCTGCACCTACACGCCGGCCCGGCCTCAGGCTCCAGGCAGGGAAGGATACTTAAAGCCAGCATTTTGGACTGGTAGTCGAAGGCTACCACCTCGCCCTGCAGCCGCTGCTCCTGGCACGTCCGGCACGACACCTGGCTCCCAACGCTGAAGTACTCGCCCGGAGGAGCCGCCATCTTGGGAGAGCAGCCGCGGCCGGCGGCGGCTGCGGCGGCGGCAGCAGCGGGCGAAAGCCGGGCCCCCAGCAAGCGCCGCGCCGCGACGCACGCGGCGTGCTGACGTCACACGCTAGGGCGTGGCCTGGCGGTGGGTGGGGCGGGAGCCTAGGTGAAAGGGAAGAGGAAATAAAGGGAAATGAAAGAGTACAGTAATGTTTGAGCAGCCACGCCCGCCTGATAAAGTGCTTGTAGGGCTCAATGGGAAGTTGAGAATATGGGGGGGGGGGGCGAGAAATTAAGGATAAATAAACTGCATGGAACGAAATGCGGAAAGAGGGAGGAGGCAGATGGAGTCTCCACTTAGTGCATACCTTGCACAAGAGTTTAATGAATGAACTCTATAAAATAGTATCCTTATTTGCATACGAAGAATCAGAGGTTCAGAGGATTTAATGCGGCTAACTCAAGATGATTAATTACAAAGTGGTTGTGCAAAGAACATTAGCTATAGAGATAGAGAAACCAGGATCTGAAGTCCAGGTCTACCATTTACCAAATGATATGACCCTGAGCAAATTACCAAACCTGATTATTTCCTCATTGGGATCTAAATATCATTGAACATTCAGCAACCCCTTGAGGTAGGAATATATATCATTTTACAGGTGAAGAAATTAAGTCTTAAACTTACCAGGGTCACACAACTAGCAAAACCATGGTCTGCCTGATTCCAAAAAAAATGCTATTATATGTGATCTATTATTCTATATTACATAATAACACCTGCCTCACAAGGCAGTAGGAGGCTTAAATGACTTGTAATAGAAGCCTGGTGTGATGGCACACGTCTTTAACCCCAGCACTCAGGACACAGAGGCAGGTGGATCTCTGAGTTCAAAGCCAGCCTGGTCTATATAGCTAGTTGCAGGTCAACTGGGGTTACAGGGAGACTATGTCTCAAAAAGACCGAAAAAAAAAAAAAAAAAAAAAAAAAAAAAAGAAATCTTGACCCTTTATTATCCATCAAGCTTGGAACCCAAAGTTCTTCCTGTCTCTCTCCTTACCCTTGCCCACAGAAAGCAAGGCAAAAAACAGGGACAGGGTGGGGTTGTAGTTCAGTCATAGGACACTTGTCCATGCTGAAGTTCAAATCTCAGCAAAACAAAAAAATACAAAAAATAGCCAGGCGTGGTGCCGCACACCTTTAATCCCAGCACTTGAGAGGCAGAGGCAGGCAGATCTTTGTGAGTTCAAGGCCAGCCTGGTCTACATAGTGAGTTCCAGGACAGCTGGGGCTACAGGGAGACCTGTCTCAAAAAGGCAAGAAAAAAAAAAAGAAAAAGGAATGGGGAGGGACTGGAGAAACAACTCCCCAGCTAAGAGCACTTGCTGCTCTTGCAGAGGACCTGGGTTCAACATAGAACTCCAATTCCAGAGGATCTGACGCCCTCTTTTGAACTCCTCGGGCATTGCACACATGTGGTGCACTTTTATCTATGCAGGCAAAACATTCATACGCAGGAATTTTTTTTTAAATTAGAGGTGGGGCGAAGCTGGAGAGATGGCTCAGCAGTTAAGAACACTGGCTGTTCTTGCAGAAGTTCCAGGTTCGAATCCCAGAACCCACATGGTGCTAACAACCATCTGTAACTCCAGTTCCAGGGAAGCCGATATCCTCTTCTGTCCTCCTCGGGGCACTCTACTGCATGACATAGGTGCACTTACACACATGGGGGCATAACACTCATGTACATAAAAAAAAAATGGAGTGGGGAAAGGCAGGAACAAGGATCAGCAATAATGACAAAGGGGTATTTGGGAGGGTCCTGCCCCTCCAATAATGTCTATATGATACATACAATGACTGCTTTGCTACCTTTATGTAAGATACTGTGCAGATGCACTTTTAGAGGTCTCACCACCAACTGCCATCCCTAACCCACCCTCTACAATATAAAAGTATGGGAGCCTCATGCATGAGAAGCAAGTTGGCCTTTCTCTAGTTTAGAAGGAGGCAGAGGGCCAGCTTTGGCACTACTAATCCTGAACAAAGTTCTAAAGTGTTTCCTTGCCCTCTAAGAGACAAGAACTTCCTGGTTGGTGGTGGAGGCACTGGTACAATCATTATAATAGAAATAAAAATTCTTCTCCTTCGGGGCTGGAGAGATGGCTCAGCGGTTAAGAACACTGCTTATTCTTGCAGAAGACCTGATGTGAATCTCAGCACCCATATGGCAGCTAACTGTCCGTAACTCGAGTCCCAGGGGATCCAACAGCCTCTTCTGACCTCTGCCGGCATTGCACAGCATGGGTGCACTTACCTACATGCAGGCAATACACGCATACACATAAAAAATAAAAATTAAAAAAAATTCTCCTTCATACTTAATTTTTTCTGAGGAGTTTCATGACCTTCACCCTTGTACTGGCCCCCATAACAAATCATACGGAACTCTGCTTTTGGGGGAAAGAAGAGGTGTGCTGGGGGTTGAACTGTGGGCCTTGCACCACTGCCAAGCTATATCTCCAACACTGACTCCACTTTTTTTCCTCTTTTTTTTTTTTTTTTTGGGTCTTTTTGAGACAGGGTCTCCCTGTAGCCTCAAGATTCAGTTGGCCTGGAGCTCTCTATGTAAACCAGGCTGGCCTTGAACTCACAGAGATCCACCTGCCTCTGCCTCCTGAGTGCTGGGATTAAAGGCATGCACCTCTACACCTGGGTTTGACTTGTTTCTAGGGGTGGGGTGGTTAAAGATTATTTTGGCCAGGTGTGGTGGTGCAGGCCTTTAATCCCATCACTCACTATGTAGACCAGGCTGGCTTCAATAGCACAGAGATCCACCTGCCTCAGCCTCCCAAGTGCTAGAATTAAAGGTGTACACAGCCTTCCTGAGTTTGATTCCACTTTTTTAACAAAAAATATTTTAATATTTTTATTTTATTTATTTATTTTTTATTTTTTAAAAACTATTTTGGCTTTTTGGGTTTTTTTTTTTTTTTTGGTCTTTTTGAGATTTTAAGACAAGGTCTCTCCTATAGTCCCACTGCAGGGCTGGCCTTCCTTGATCTCAGCAATCTGCCTGCCTCAGTCTCCCAGTTGTTGGGATTAAAGGCATGCTCCACACCTGGCTTTATTTTGTTTTGAATTACCGTGGAGGTCAGAAGAGGGCTTGGGATTCCCCTGGAACCGGAATTAAGGATGGTTCGTAGCCGCCATGTGGGCGCTGGGAATCGAACCCAGGTCCTCTGCAAGAGGAGTCAGTCCTCTTAAGTGCTGAGCCATCTCTCCAGCCCCTATTTTATTTTATTTTATTTTGGTCTTTTTTTTTTTTAGGTCTTTTAAGACAGGGTTTCCCTATAGCCCCAGCTGTCCTGGAACTCACTATGTGAACCAGGTTGGCCTTGAACTCACAGAGATCTGCCTGCCTCTGCCTCCTGAGTGCTGGGATTAAAGGCCTGCACCACGCCTGGCCTTTATTTTGATCCTTTTGAGACAGGGTCTCTCTGTAGCCCCAGCTGGCCAGGAACTAGCTATGTAGACCAGGCTGACCTTGAACTCACTGAGATTCACCTGCTTCTGTGATTCACCTGCTTCTGTCTGCTTCTGAGTGCTGGGATTAAAAGCATGCACCACCAGCCCAGCTATTGTTTTTATGTTATGAGTATATTGCCTGTATGTTTCATATGGTTAGCTGCCATATGGCTGCTGGGAATCAAACCCAGATCCTCTGCAAGAGCTGCCAGTGCTCTCAACTGCTGAGCCATCTCTCCAGCCCCTGACTCCACTTTAAAAAAAAATATATTTTATTTATTATTTTTATTTCATGTGTATGAGTGTATTGCCTGTATGTATATGAGTCCACCCATGTCGTGCAATGCCGCGGAGGTCAGAAGAGGGCTTCAGATTCCCCTGGAACTGGAGTTAAGGATGGTTCGTAGCTGCGAAGTGGGTGCTGGGAATCAAACCCGGGTCCTCTGCAAGAGCAGTCAGTGCTGTTAACCGCTGAGCCATCTCTCCAGCCTCCTGACTCCACTTTTTATACAGCATTATAATTACAGTAGTCTCCACTTTTCCTCTAGGGCATGCCTGAAACTCTGAAAATTACTAATCCCTACACAGAATTTTTTTTCCAATCCCTCCATCCTGATGATAAAGTTTCTAAGTGAGGCCCAGTAAGAGCCTCACAACTACTAATTAAAAGAAGAATATATCATAGTAAGTTATATGAATGTAATTTCTCTATTTCAGAGTATCTTACAGAACTTTAACCGCTTGTAGCTTCTCTATGGTATATGTGATTCACTAACATCACTACTACTGGGTTTTGGGCTATCATTAAGTGAAATAAGAATTACTTGAACACAAATACTGCAATATCAAGGCAGTAGATCTGATAAGACATTTACTAACTGACTAATGGATAAGTAGTGGATATAAGTATGGCTATGCTAGCAAAAGGATTATCCACATCCCAGGCTGGATGCAGCAGGATAAACCGAGATTCCATGACACTATCAGCACTGCACACAACTTAAACCTTATGAATTAGTTCTGGACTTTTCCACTTAGTATTTTCACACCATAGTTGACTGCAGATAGCTGAAAGGAAAACCACAGATGGTCGAGAGCTTTCTAGAGAATGTAGAAAATCTGAAGGATCATCAGGAAAAGAAAGACAGTATTGCTGCTCTTTCGGAGGGCCTGGATTTGGTTCCCAACACTAGCATGGTGGCTAAGAACCAAACTCCAGTTCTAGGAGATACGACGCCCTCTTCTGGCCTCCACGGGCACTGCATGCATGGGTGCACTTACGTACATGCAGGCAATACACTACATATAAAATAAAAATAATCATTTTTTTCGTCTTTTTTTTTTTTTTGAGAGGGTCTCCCTGTAGCTGTCCTGGAACTCATTATGTAGACCAGACTGGCCTTGAACTCACAGAGATCCGCCTGCCTCCTCCTCCCGAGTGCTGGGATTAAAGGCACGTGCCACCACGCCCGGCTCAAAATAATTTTTAAAAAATTTTTAATTAGGGGCTGGAGAGATGGCTCAGTGGTTAAGAGCACTGACTGCTCTTGCAGAGGACCCGGGTTTGATGACCAGCACCCACATGGCGGCTACGAACCGTCCTTAACTCCAGTGCTAGGGGAATCCAAAGCCCTCTTCTGACCTCCGCGGCATTGCATGACACAGGTGCACTCACATACACGCAGACAATACACTCATACACATAAAATAAAAATTATAAATAAAATACTTTTAAAAAAATTTTTAATTAAAAAAAGTTGGCAGTGATAGTGCAAGCCTATAATCTCAGAGGTCCTAGGAGAGAGTTCCAGACTAGCCTGGACCAAACCTATCTCAAAAATAATTAATAAATAAATAAATAAATAAATAAATGGTATGAAATTTAGGTTTTCTTTCAAGAAAGTGAACTGAGATTTCCATCCAGCTTCCTCTGACCCCCAACCCCTTCTCAAATTTACACCCTCATTTTTATTCTCCTTTCAGAAAACGCTTCTAGAACAAAGTTGTTCGAGGCTGGAAATTGAAGAGCCGCTGGAACAAGGCTTCTCCCACGGACCTCTACCTCTAAGCGGACCTCCCCTAGAATAGTTGCAGAGTCTACTTTGTGTGTTACTCCAAATTATTTCAAAACTTGTAGCAGGTGTGTGCCCCTCCTCTTCCCATAGAAACGTTACTATCTCCTGGTTTATCTGCCCGGTGGGGTTCTGGATGGCAGGCAGAAGGATATTAAGAGGTGAGGGCAAGGAAAGGGTCTCACATATAACACCGACAACACGTAGGAATTCGGTTTCAGAAAGACATCTCAAAATCAAAAGGCTTACCAGCCTCCGAATCAATAACGAATGAATTAGGGTGGGAAAATCCTGAGATAGGATAGATTAGGGGTGTGTGCAAATTGAGGATTCCGCTTTGACTCTCTCTTGGAAGACTGTCCGTAGCTTGCTCTTCAAAGGATCTAGATTTGGGGGAGTGGGTAGCGATGTTGCAGAAAACAGGTCGGATCTGGAAGGTATCCTGGAGATTAAACATCCGCCTTCGTAGCAGCAGAGCAACAAACCTGGATGCACCACTGGCCGATTAGTCTGTCCCCTGACCCGGAACAGCAGCGAGTTTCTGCGCTACGCAGACAGTACACGTGCCGGCAACAGCGGCCACGTGGGGCCCTAAGGAAACGCCTTCGCAAAGGTTTGTCCCCTCCGCTGCCCAGTAGCGAGGAAGGCGAGGGAACAGTGCTGGAGGAAACTGTACCCGCCACAGGCCCGACGCGCGGGGGCCAGCGGAGGCGGGGCAGGGGCGGGGCCTGGCTTGGACCTCTGGGGAGGAGGGCGGGGCCCGGGGGGCTAAGGAGGGTGGGTTTTAGAGGGCCGTTAAGAAGGTAGTGAGTTTGTTGTTGCCAGGTCTCTTCCGCGTCCTCCCCGGGACAGACCCGGGTCCGACCGACCCCTGCGTCTCCATGGAGTCCACGCTGGGCGCGGGCATCGCGATAGCCGAGGCGCTGCAGAACCGGCTGCCCTGGCTAGAGAACGTGTGGCTCTGGGTCACCTTTCTGGGAGATCCCAAGAGCCTCTTTATGTTCTACTTTCCCGCGGCCTACTACACCTCTCGCCGCGTGGGCATCGCGGTATTCTGGATCAGCTTCGTTACTGAGTGGCTCAACCTTGTCTTCAAGTGGTGAGACAGCGAACCCCTCGGGCATCCTGGCCCCCTAGCTCCTTGGGGCCCTTGTCTCCCTCAGTAGGTCCCTCATAGGCAGCGCCGCCCGCATCTCGGAGCCCCTGGGTTTCTCCTTTGAGCATCTTTGCATCTTTGGCCTCACACTTCACCCACTTCTCAAACTGTTTCGATCAGAGAAATCATCTAAGGGGCTTGTTTCAATTGTAACTACATCCCTCTCCACCTGAGACCTAGGGACTTAGAACCTCGAGAGAAGTTAGAAATCTGCATTTTAACACGTATCAATGGAGATATAGGTGGCAGGAAGTCTTCTTTGCTCACCTTTTCATTCATTTGTTCCCTTGCTTGACGTAATTATCGTACTTTGTGTTAGGCAACTACTGCCTTGCAAATTAAGGTGTGGTTCTTGGTTCCTACCCAAAAGCACTGGCAGTACTTAAAGGCTTTCTAGAAATGCGGAATCCGAGGTCTCTGGCCAGATCTGCATTTTAACAAGGTCCCCTGGGTATTTGTGATCCCTGTGCCCTTTGAAGTTTGAAAAGTTCTAGAGAAATCTCGCCCTCCCTGTAAGGAACACTCTCTTTCTCACCCTGAGAAGTCAGGAATCCCATTCTGCTGGGCTTCCTGCAGCCCTTAGGGTTTATCATTTTGTGCCACCTGGTTTTTTGGTTTGTTTTTCTTCTGTCTTTTGGGTATAGAAGGGAGTCACTAGATAAGCAGCCTCACCTCAGTCCACTTCAGCCTCTGTTGCCAAGTTCTCACCCTGAGGGATAGAAGGGAGGTTCATAGGAGACACTGAATGAGCTGAAATGACTTAGTAGACTGAGTGCCCCTAAGGGTTTCGTCCCTACTGTAAACTCCAAGCAGTTGTCCAGTCATTTCCTTCTTACCTAACAGCCCCCTTGCTTTATGCTTTCTCCTCCCCACAGTGTCTATATAAGCCAAATGTCTAATACCTAAGTGATAGGCCTATTATTATTATTATTTTATTTATTTATTTATTTATTTTTTGGTCTTTTTGAGACAGGGTCTCCCTGTAGCCCCAGCTGTCCTGGAACTCACTATGTAGACCATGTAGGCTGGTCTTGAACTCACAGAGATCTGCCTGCCTCTGCCTCCCAAGTGCTGGGATTAAAGGCGTGCACCACCACGCCCACCTATTATTTTATTTTTTAAGAAATATTATTTTTATTTTATGTGTATGTGTGTATTGCCTGCATATAGGTAAGTTTACTGGCAGTTGTTAGCTGCCATGTGGGTGCTGGGATTTGAACCCAGGTCTTCTGCAAGAACAGTTAGTGTTAAGCTTAACCGCTGAGCCATCTCTCCAGCCCACTATTATTATTTTAATTGATACAGGGTCTCACCAGGTAGCCCAGACTGGCAGTCCTCTTGCCTCAGTCTCCTGAGTGCTGGGATGACAGGCATACCTGACCCCATATTTATTTTCTAACTTGGTGCTCAGCATTTGATGTGTGTGAGATTGAGTTTTTGGTGGGGAAAGACAGTTCTTTCTGAAATCTCCTTCAGCACTGTGCTTCCTGCCCACAGCCTCTTCTAGGTGGGACTCCCCAGAGCCCAGCCAGACACCTGCTAGGCCAGGTGTCTTCCTTAGTCTTTCTTAGGCTCCTCTGTACATTCCTTATTCCCAATTTCAGATGAGAAACTCGCCTAAATAATTTAAGTATTGGCAACTCAAACTGCACCTGGGCATATGATGGGGAGCAAGGACAGGGAAGGAGTTGAAAAGACCAGGTCCTAAGAAGAAAAGAGCTGTCCCTGCTGTGGGACCTCTCTGTTTATAACTGTCTCTGTCTCTCTGTCTCTCTTTCATACACACACATACACACACACATCTCTCACCACAGTATCTGGCCTCTGTCAAGGTAATGGCTAGTCCCCTTCTGAGTGCACCCTCAGCCCTCCAGAGTTCTTCTGTCCCCTCCAAACCTCCAGCAGTGTGTGCATGCAATATGGTCCTATATCTTGTCTCTTTCAGGTTTCTGTTTGGAGACAGGCCCTTTTGGTGGGTTCATGAATCTGGGTACTACGGCCAGTCTCCAGCCCAGGTTCACCAGTACCCCTCTTCTTGTGAAACAGGTCCAGGTGAGAAAAGCTCCAACTTCCTCCCATTCCCAGTGTGGTTAGGATTCAAGTGAACATTTCAGACCACTCTTCAGCTAGGGTGGCCTAAACAGTCCCAGCCTCTCAGTTTACTGGTCCAGAAAACTCTTTTTATTCAGGTGAGGCAGCTGTGTAGAGGGGTCCTCAGGAGCACCTGGGTTTTTTTTTTTTGGTTTTTTTTTTTTTTGTTTTGGTCTTTTTGAGACAGGGTCTCCTTGTAGCCCCAGCTGTCCTAGAACTCACTATGTAGACCAGGCTGGCCTCGAACTCACAAAGATCCACCTGCCTCTGCCTCCCAAGTGCTGGGATTAAAGACCTGTGCCACCATGCCCGGCCCCACCTCCATTTTTTTCACCATGAACTTTTGGATCTCCTGGCAGGTAGCCCTTCTGGCCATTGCATGATCACAGGAGCAGCTCTCTGGCCCATAATGACGGCCCTCTCATCTCAGTTGGCCACTCGAGCCCACAGGTATGCCCTTGGTATTGCCCACCAAATAGGAGCAGGAGTGATGGCATTCTGGACCCAAAAGACTACACAGCATGATAGACTGGGTGCTGGAGTTCTGGGAGCCCTGGGGTGTTGATTCAAACTCTGAAGTGTTTGGGTGCTGAAGAAAGCCAAGCCGTGTTGGACATCCCTTGAGCCATTTGTCTCTCTTCTTTCTAGCCGCTGGGTAAGGGTGATTCCTAGCCTGACTTATTGCACCTTCCTATTGGCAGTCGGCCTATCTCGGGTCTTCCTCTTAGCACATTTCCCTCACCAGGTGTTGGGCGGCCTAATAACTGGTGAGCAATTGGGACAACAGGGTGGGCCAAGAGGGTGCCTTTGGCAGTGGGAGGACCAGTCTAGGAACTTCCCAGCCTTCCCAGCTTCTATAGAGCCATTCTCAAGGCCTCCCCTCTTGTCTGTTTTCCTGCACTGAAGGTGAGGGGGTTGGTCATTTTCCCAAACTTAAATCTGCTTTTTCCCCACTCCTTTAGGTGCTATCCTGGGCTGGCTGATGGCCCCCCGGGTGCCCATGGAGCAGGAACTCAGCTTCTATGGGTTGACTGCCCTGGCCCTCATGCTGGGTGCCAGCCTCATCTATTGGACCCTCCTTTCACTGGGCTTGGATCTTTCCTGGTAAGTCCCACTTTGGAGTATGGGCAGCTGGGGTCCTGTCTCACCTGCACCTAGCTAGAGGATATGTAGTTCACTGTGGTTAGAAAAGGACACATTAATGTAACTATACCTAGGCAGAGGTGCTCCTGGGGCACAGCACATAGGAGCAGGCCACCAAAAGCATATGGCTAAGAGCCAGTGGCTTGCTAATTTCCAATCTGTCCTGGCAAGAATTCCTCTTCCCCACAGGTCCATCAGCTTGGCTTCCAAGTGGTGTGAGCGGCCTGAGTGGGTGCACTTGGACAGTCGGCCCTTTGCCTCACTGAGCCGTGACTCAGGAGCTGCCCTGGGTCTGGGCATTGCCCTGCATTCCCCCTGCTATGCCCAGATACGGCGAGCATCCCTGGGAAATGGTCAGAAGATAGCATGCTTTGTGCTGGCTATGGGGCTGCTGGTCTTCCTGGACTGGCTGGGCCACCCCCCTCAGATCAGCCTCTTCTACATCTTCAACTTCCTCAAATACACCCTCTGGCCATGCCTGGTCCTGGCCCTTGTGCCCTGGGTGGTGCACACATTCAGTGCCCAGGAAGCACCGCCCATCCGCTCTTCCTGATGTCTTATGCCTCCTTCTGCCATTCTCCCTCCTGAAGGGCAACACTCCGTGACCACCACACTCGAGGACGCAGCCCCATCTCTTCCTGGGCTCCAAGCAGGCCCTAATCACCCTGAATTTCATTTCTGTCCCACACTCTGCCATTTTAGGGTTTTATCCCCCTTTAAAGAAGGCCCTTTTGTCTCCCAGGGATGCCAAGCCTCATGCCTTTTTTCCCAGGTTCCCACAGTGAAAGCAACTGCAGGACTGAGGGTAGGGAGGTAGGTTTCTGCACACTGTGAGGAGTGGCTCAGGAGGGCTCCAATAAAGCCCTTGAAACGTCTGGATTCCTTTCTTGCCTATGTGTACATCTTCACCAGCTCCCCCCATTCCTTTTATTTAGAGACAGAGGTAAAGGGGGACTGAAAACTCAGCTAAGACTTCATCCCACCCTCCAGTCACTACCAAGGCCATAACAGAGATCTCCTGAAATGTAGTAGCTAAATTTAGTGGAACTCTAGCTTTCCCTATAGTCCAGAAAGCTCCCACAAAGGCTTCCAGATTCTCAGCTTGGCTTCTAGTCCAGGGCTTGAAAAAAGGCAGTTTTTTTTTTTTTTTTTTTACTAGGAAAGGAGAGGAGAACCTCTATTCCATTTGGGAACCCAGAGAATAGACATTAGCCTCAGAAGGCACTGCCACAAACAAGTTTATTTACACAAGGACACACAGTGTAACGGGTTACAAAATACTTAACCGAAATCCATATCCAGGGAGACAAAGCAGGAGTGGGTTTACATGAGAACTAGACCAGCCACAGGGAGAGGGAGGGTGAGAGACCCGGAGCCTGGGGCTCAGTGCAGGAAGGCCTGATTCACTGCTCCTAATCCCCGTCCCCATCCCCAGGAGGCTCTAGAACACAACACGCAAGCACACAATGAACCAATGGTGGTGGGACTCCTGCCCCTCCCCTGGCTCCCTCAACCCTGCTCAGGCCCCCATCAGGATAATAAATATGTAAACAGATGGGTGGGGCCCTGGGGATGGAAGGAGAGAAAGTATATGTGGTATGGGGAGGAAGAGTTGGCCCCCTAGGAGCCACTTCCCATCTTTGGTTTCCTACAAGCTAGACTTCCGAAAGCCTGAGGGCCCCAGCCCCTGGACCATGGGGCTACTAGAAAAGAAAGGAACATCCCCTAACCTTCTCCTGGTCTTTGCTCTCTTAGGCTAGTGGCCAGCAAAGGGAACTCAGGAGGAAGGGAAATTCCTGCTGAGAGCTGATTCTTAGACTCCTCTGTCCATTCTAGAACTATCTCTCAACATCCCCAGGCTTCAAAGCAGTAGGCACCAGAAGGGAAGTTAGTCTTGATCCTTCTGCTTGCAGCATTTGATGGCTGGGGAAAATCTGGTTCAGAACAGCAAAGGGGCTCTCACCAGTTTAGAGCTCCAGCAGGGTCCATTTTCCCTCCCCAGGCTGGACCAGCACAAGGCAGAGAGGTCAACAGAGTTAAGGTGGAGAACCTGCCTGCTTCTGTAGCTCTTCCTGGCCCCTCAGAACTCAGGATGCGAGCTGCGTATCCCCTTGTACCCTCTGGGCTCCCGGAAGTATGACAAGACATCTGGCCATAGGTCTAAAGCCCACATCCTGGGTACAAGTGCAGTGCTGAGGCCAGAGAGGAGAAGAATGGTGAGGACAGGGAAAGTACGGGGTGGGGGCCTACCTCCCCTCCACTTGGCCTTTTAGACAGTAGTGGATTCACCTGAGGATGGAGAGGGGTGGGGGTGAAATTAAGGCATTCCCCACAAGTCAGCTAAAGCCAAGGTACCAACTTACTGTTCTCGCCTCACTCAAGTGCCCCAGAACTGGAGGATGCTATCTGGAGCACTGTCCAAGGTGGAAAATGACAGAATTCAGGGAAGTGGGTGTGAGATACAACATGGGAGAGGGACTGGACACTGCACCCCATCCCCTACAGAAGGAACTGATTTCTACAGCTGAGACACAAGCCATATGGCAGGGGGGCCTGAGACAGCTTAGAGGAGCAGGAGGTGCTAAGGCTGAGAGACCCACACGGCACACGTTGTTGAATGTGTGACTTTTTGTTTTTAATAGAAAAAATAAACAAAATCACAATGATGAAGCCCAGAGGGACGGGGGCCAGGGTGTTACAGGGCAGGCTCCTGCTCCATGGGCTCTTCTGCCGGCCTGTGGGGACAAGCAAAGGGAGGGCACTGAGTGGACAGCACCACCTTAGGCCAGGGCAGGGAGTGGAAGGTAAGTAGTTTACCTGGGGCTGTGCTCTTGAGCTGCAACAGCCTGGGCCTGCTCAGCCCCCACTGACAACAAGGCCATGGCGCTCACAGTCTCGGCCTCCTCCGTCTCACCTGCTTGGGCTTCCCGTAGAGAGCAGCCCAACCCAGTGGCAAACCTCTGCACACAGCTCCAGTGTTTGCCTGTGCAAGACAGATGTGCAAGGCAAATCCCTCCATATATACCCCCAGCTCTGGTGCCCTTGCCCCCACAAGCCCTGCCCCCTGAGGCAGACTGAGGTCTGAGTCTCTCCGCCCTTCCCCACGCACTCTGGATTTCGATGACTTTCTCTAGTGTGGCCACTGCATTGACACTGGGCTTTTGTTGCAAGACTGCTTCATCCAAGGGCTGCAGCTGGTAGAGAAAGAAGAGCAGGCTTAGGGTGGGACGAGGGGAAGGCCTCGCTCTCTAGCTGTCCCCATTCAGCCAGACCTTCTTGTGATATGCAAGCACCAGCTTTTGGGAGGAAGCCCTATTCAGAAAGCCCTCCCTGGCCAACTAGTCTCAGGACCTAAGCAAACTTTCTCAAGGAGTCCTTAGGGCTACCTGGCCCAAGGAAGTGGACATCTCTGTTGTCCCACCTCCTTGCCCCCCACTCACCTCCACACTGAGCAGAGCCGAGACACAGGCCTCAGAGGCATCACAGATGGCGGTCAAGTCATGGCCTCCTTCCAGGGCCAGCACCACCCGGCCTCCTGCCAGTGTCATGAGCTGCCTGGTCAAGTGGCCAAAACCTTTGCACATGAATGAAAAGAGGGTGATGAATGATAAATTGTATCAATTCAAGAGACGGTAAGAAAGAAAAAGAAACAACAAGAAGTGGGACAAACAGCACCAAATATGATGGCAGTCTTAAGTCCAAAATATCCATAATAAAGTAAAATGTCAGTGAATTGAATATAAGACAGGCTAAGAAACATAATCACAATGTGGTAGAGGGAGCATCTCTGGAAGGTCAAGGACCAATGAACTCCATCCACATAGCTCCAGTGGAAACTACATCATTTGCTACCCCACTTTCATCCGCTCGCCCCCAAGGCCAGGGTTGGCAGAGGAAGAGTGGGTGGAACTAGCAGGATGATTCCAAGTCTTACACCTGGCCCCTACTCTCCCTTCCCCTGCAATATCAGTCTATTCCCTGTCCCACATGCCTCACTGTTCCACACCCTCCATCAGACCCCCCGGAGGCTCACATCTGGCGGTGACAGAATAGCCACCCAATGGAGACAGATGTCCTTCAACAGCATCAAACCCAGCGGAGACTAGGACCACGTCGGGTGAGAACTCATGGGCAATGGGCATCACCACTGTCCTGCAAAAGGATGGTCCAAGCTGATGCCAGCACAGGGCCAGGCTGAGCCTTGCCACACTTGGCTTTCTACTGAGGCCACACCACTCCAACTGAGTACCTGCTGCCCCTCCCCACCCCTCCTCTGGCTCTTCTCAATCCCCACCTGAAAGCTGTCAGGTACTCCACGTCTCCAATGGGGGGATCCACACCTCCTGTCCACGCCACATTTACATTGTACCCCACACCTGGCCCTCCACCAACCTGGCATGAGATGAGGGAGGGGTTACTCTCATTGCCTGGGGATCCCAAATATTGCCCCATCCTCACCCCTGCCTCCAAGGTTTCACTCCACTGACCTCTGCTTTGCAAGACTGGGAAACAGACCTATGTGGTCCTCCCACTAGGAGCCCTCAGATGCCCCAGGGACCAGCACCACGTATGGGATTCGTGGCTTCCTGCTGGGCCCTAGTCTGCTACCTCCCGGAAGGGCCCACATGGAGGCCCAGGAGCTGTACCTCTTCAGGAGCCCCAGAGCCTGGAAAGAAGTTCCCGTTGTCATAACGATGTAGGGAGATGTAGAGCACAGAGGGGTCATTGTAGAATGCTTGCTGGGTGCCATTGCCATGGTGAATGTCCTGACGGGGAGAGGTAGTAGAATGCTCTAATCCAAAAGCCAACAATGCCACCTGTCCCCACCCACCCTACCATGAGCTCTGAAGATGGGCCCACCAGTGGTTCCAAGGCTGTGGCACTGAGTCCAGACTCTACACAGCCACAGGATGAATGTGGCTTATTTCCCTGCAGAACCCATTCCACTGAGATGCAAGGGAAACTCAGGCTGATAAGAAATTTAAACAGGCAAATAAACTCTAGAGGATGATTCAACATTCACATAAATTTATTTTAGATTTTTGAGGGTCTCACTATGTAATCCAGGTTAGCCTTGAACTCTCAATCTTCCTGCCTCAGCCTCCTGAGTGCTGGGATTATAGTCATGCCGGTGATGCCTGGCTATAGACTGGGTTTCAAAGATTCCTCCCTTGCTGACAGATTGCCCCAGTAACTCCTTGAGTGCAGTGAGTACTGTGTACCCTCTTCCCCACCATTAGGACAGGGGTGCTGAGGAACACCCACAGCAGCAGGAGCAGAGCTGTGGTCCTGGCTAAGTATGTGTCTTCACTGGGAGGAATGGATGTCTACTCACTGCTAGAGGTAGCTGTGAGCAGCACAGTGTGTCAGGTTCCTGGCACACCACAGCCCCTAATGGTGAGGGCAGGGAGGAAAATGGCTTTGGCAATAGTGATGGCACCCCTGTCCCTACTGTTCAAAGTAGGAAATCATTTGGATGCTGGAGGCTGCTAGCGAGAAGACAGGGTAAACAGGCTAAAAGCACACTGGGGTCTCCCAGGGAGGAGCCTGGCTGGAATGAATGGACCCAACTGATGATGCAGCAGGAGGGACATAAGGTTATCTGCTATCAGTATGTGAGACCGAGTGAGCCCTGGTGCCGGCTGCCTGGAGGGGGCATTTCCTGAAGGCCCTCCCTGGCCCAGTTCTTCCTGCCCCTGCCCTGGCTCCCCAGCCCAGTGCCTACCCAGTCCACGATGAGGACCTTGCCCACGTTCAACTTCTGCTGCAGGAGTTTAGCTGTGATGGCTACGGAGTTGAAGAAGCAGAATCCCCTGAGAGGGGTGGGGGGCAGAAGAGGGAGGGGAGATCAGCTTCAGAGTGATATGAGGTTTGCTT